TGGCTATGAAGAAGAGCAACGTGTCCATCTCTGTCTGCACACTCGGTCTCATTGATACCGACTCAGCTATGGAGAAAGTCCGGTTAGTCAAATATATGTATGCAGAAATATTTGACATTGTGTATTTTGAGATATTTTTGAATTAAGTGTAAGAATTTTCTCTATCCTAGGGGCGTCACTGATGTACCAGCCTACCCCGCCACAGATGCTGCATTGAACATCATCATTACGGGATCTACAAGGCAGCCAGAGCTTTTCTACCCTTGGTTCACATACTTTATAGTTATCACCAAAGACTGGTTTCCTTCTCTCACAGATTATATGACCCAGAACTCCTACAACTACATCCCATGAAGAGCATTTATTCAGCACAACTGAAGCACAATTATACATGTTCCTAATTATAAATATCAACATTTAATTTGGATTTTGGCCTAGCTCTTTGACATTTTGATGCACCCAGTTTTGCGGGAACATTTCTGACATTTCAGTTTCCACTTTTCTCATCATTTCTTTGAGAACAGTCCAGTAATAAAATGTATACAGATAGAAAAGCTCAGGACTTGGGATTTTACTTTTTAGGCTACTATTTTAACATTTTAGACATTAGTGTCTGTGTCAATAGTACAGCCACTGCTGTCCAAACATTATTGCACTAGTACTTCAAAACTCAGAAGAAAAAAGTCTGATTTACTACTGATAAGACAACCTCACCCCTCCATTCAGCCCTCCCACACACAGACACAATACCTCACATGAGATTTGGTTATGAAATAAATGAATACGTTTCGTGTTGCTGCTGTTGCTGCTGATAATGAACACAAAAAAATAAACCAGCTTCCTCCTGACATGTTTGTTGGTGTTAATTGTGGTTAATGAAAGGAAGGAAAGGTAGATCATAATAACAGACCACATAAGTCATCCATAGTCTGACAGAAATATCTTTTACCATAAAATGCAGTTTAGCATATTCCAGGTCAGTACAGCTTAGTGGAGAAGAGCAGTCAGGAAGCTACTTGGGTGACACAATAGAGAAGCCCAAAGCAAACAAAGTCAAGAATGAAATAACGTGAGGTATGATAATGCACATAAAAGCAAATGGAAAAAAATGTTTTTTGCCAGTGAAATATTTGTTCTGCACCTTGAAGGTATGAAGACCTAATAACTTTAAATTTAGATTTTTTCTTGTATGTGCTAACCCAATGCCACTATTAGTGTTTAATTATGGAGCTACAAAAGGTTAGCCTCCTATTGCAATTGTCTGCTTTGACTGACAGCCACAGGCACAACGAAACCTAGGTCATTTATACTGCGCCAAATCACAACAACAGTCAATAAGGCACTTTATATTGTAAGGTAGACCCTACAATAATACATAAAACAATCATATGACCCCTTTGACAAAGCACTTGGTGACAGTGGGAAGGAAAAACTCCCTTTTGAATAGGAAGAAAACTATTTGAAGCTCTGAAACCTGACTGAAACTCTTCAAATAAACCATATTATTTAAAATAATGATTAATGATACTTGTTATGTGGTCTGTTGATCCAAGTCTGCAGCACAAGTTGAAAGGAAAAATCAAAAAGAATATCACAAGGAATAGTAGTACAAGACTTATAGATCAACTTTAATGTAAAATATTCATATTCAAAAGATCCAGAGACTGGTTGAAAGAAATTGACCAAAACTAAAGTTTCACCGTAGCTTACCAGCACAAGGAAGGAAACACAGAAAATTTGCAATCTGTTATATCAGTATCTTCAAATTATAAAATTGATGGAAAGAATATAGTTTTTGATTTTTCCCCCTGCAATTCTTCTCTCCACACTCCAGTCCATTAGGTGGCAGTAATGGGCTTGTGCCTTCCCACATGGCTAGGTTCAGTGGTTGCACAATGAGAGTGTAAAAGGCAGAAAGTCAAAAGAGCACCGAGATTTAAAAGGCTGATTAGCTCACAGAAGGCAGGCAAGAAGGTGACTGCACTGGAGTAATGATGTCAGTACTGGCAGATGATGGTTTATGACTAAACCATCATCTGCATCAGCGCCCAAATAATTGGTCACATATGTGCACGTTAAATTTCACTGGTAAATGTGAGCCACCTGCTAATGGTTCAGAACAGTATATATTCCTCAAATGTTTGTTTTCTGCCATTTTATTCTGTATTTGTCTTTTCAGACCTCTAACAGCAGCATGTTTACGAGGAGAAGGTTCTCACAGACCAGCAGGAGAGGAACTCCAGTCTGGACCAGGATGGCCCAGAGCCTCCACAGATTAAAGAGTAACAGGAGGAACTTTGTAGAAGTCATGAGGGCGAGCAGGTTGGACTGAAGCAGGAGACTGATACCTTTATGGAGATTCCTCCTTATGAGTAAAGTGACCACAGCTCTCCTGAAGCAGAGAGCCAAGCTCATAAAGAAAGCCAGCATGTGGACTCGGGAGAAATAATTAGAAATGCAAAACCAAAGAAAAGGAGACTTAACAGAAAGCAAAGTAACAGAAAGAAAAGTCTCAGCCCAAATTTTCCAGTGGTACAAACCACAGGCAGGTGCCAGGTTTGTCCCACCAGGAGTGATTCAAAGATTAGGAAGACCTGTGCACAATGCAAGAGATATATCTGCAAGGAGCATGCACACACTCTCTGCACATCATGTGTACAGTAATGCAGACAAAACACTTGACTGCTGGACAAGAACATTTCCATGTTCTGACTATTTCACTGATGTTGGTTCACAATTGTATGTGAACCATTGCCTATGATAGTAATATTTGAGGAGAATATGAGGGTTAGAGCTGCTTTAATATTGAGACCTCAGCACCATCTAGTGACAGTATGGAGGACTCATCAGTGGCGTCGTTAGGCCTATTTTAGGGGTGCTTAAGCCTCCCTAAAATATTCTTAAGCCCCCTAAATAATTTGGTGTTTATTTATTTATTTTATTTATTCAATTTTTTTTTGCAATTGGATCCCCCATAGCTGTTGGTCTCAGAGCAAAGCTCTACAAGTTCTCAGCAGTCTATGCACTACTGATGTTTCTGTCTGTAACCGAAGGACTCCACAAATTCCTGCAGAAAGAGACTTTAGACCTGGCAGAAGCTTTTATCTGCAAACAAGCTGTGTGTGAGACACTTAAGGGCAAACACTCAGATGCATTTGCTACAGAGCTGTATGAGAAAACCAAGGCCCTGTGTAACACCCACAGTATCCCTGAACCAGGTGCCAAGACAAGGCACAAGCAGAGGAAAATGGAGGATTTTGTCCTGGAGGCAACTGTGGGTTCACGCACTGAATTGAACAACTCAGACACATTGAAAAGAGAGTTACTTTTCCCTTGTGTGGATCGGATGGTTGGCGAGCTTGATCAAAGATTTTGCAGTGTAGACGCAGGGCTGCTAAAAGGCATCCAGGCATGCAGTCCTAAATCTGAGAACTTCTTGAGTGAACCACACTTGAATGAACTTGCAAAGCACTATAGACTTGACCTGAAAAAAGAGGAGGTTCTGGTGGCCAGAAACTTTCTTACCCGGAAAACAGAGGCTGGATGTCCACCCAAAAATATGTTGTCTGTGTACAACCTCCTCGATTCAGACATGTTTCCCTCTCTGAAGGCAACCATCCAAGTTGCCCTAACAGTGCCTGTCAGCAGCTGCTCGTGCGAAAGGTCCTTTAGTGCACTGCGTCGGCTGCACTGCGTCGGCTGCACTCCTGGCTGCGTCAAACAATGGGTCAGAAAAGACTTCACGGTCTTGCAGTCATGTCTATTGAAAAAGACATGAAAAAGCATCTGAGTCACAACAGAGTGATTGACCGATTTGCCACTCTTAATCAGAATCAGAATCAGAATCAGAAAGGGGTTTATTGCCAAATGTTGAGCAGGTTTACAACATTAGGAAATTTCTGCGGTGCTTCAGTGCAAACATAGTGTCATAAATAGCACTTAAATAGACGTCACTTAAATAGACGTCATTCTTTGATGCTTCCACCCACCAAGTAACTGGCAATTGAAGCCAAAAATATGTATTTTTTTATTTTCAGTTTTTTTCTTGTTATTGATGCAGCAAACACATTTCTTCTGTTTTCTTGTTGTACTGTATTATAAAACAGACTGAAATAAAACAATAGATCTATTGGTGGCCTAGGATGTTTAATCTGTCCAAAAAAGTAGGAAAACAATTTCTCAGTCTTGTTTTCTGTTTGTGAAATTTTGTGCTCATTCACTACGTTCGTTCATATCGTGTGCATCTCTTGGGGGCTAAGCCCCCCTGTCCTTAAAACCTAGTGACGTCCCTGGGACTCATCATATCTGTGGTGACTGTTGAGTAACTATGTATACCTGTAAAGCTAGTTCTCATTCCTTCTGAGTCCCTGTTAGTATGTTAACTAATAATTGATCAACAAATTGATTTACTCTGCCTGACAGAAACCTGTTTACAGCAGGATGATTATGTTAGTTTAAACGAATCAACACTAATTGTCAGAATCCTCGAAGCTCAGGCTGAGGGTGCAGTGTGGCAGCAATTTTCCACACTAGATTATTAAACCAAAATCAAAGACCAAGACTGAGTTTGAATTCATTTGAAAGTCAGATGCTTAGCCTTGTCCACCCCAACTGGAAAACTCAAAAACCAGTCTCATTTGTTATCATCTATCATCCAACTGGGCTGTACACAGAGTTTCTGTCTGATTTCTCAGGCTTTTTGTCTGATTTAGTGCTCAGCTCAGATAAATAATTATTGTGGGTGATTTTTTTTAACATCCATGTAGATGCTAAACATGACAGACTAAAACTGGCATTTGATGTCTTATCTTTTTGGATTTATTTATTGCTAATTAAATCAAACACTGTGCAGTTTATTAAAAAAAAGTTAAAGCTACTGTAAGGAAATGTGTTGATAAAAAGCACTTTCTCTTTGCATTTGAGGGCGGGCCTTATTGAAGTTCACCACTTTTGAAAACACGCCTCCTTACAGAGTGACAGGAGGAGTGTGAATGGGATGCGGTTGCATAAAAGGCAGTTTGTGTCCTCAAACATGAACTGTCTAAAGCCCAACACTTCAAAACAACTAGCAGCCAGCTGTTAAAAATGGAAGCTTTCATAAAGATTATTTTAGTTGTATATTTGTTGCTTTCCTGGCCATCAGATGGACCAGCAATTTTGATGCAGGTAAAGTACGATTATGTTTATTGTTACTGAGTGCAAGTATTAATCTATATTTATCTGTAAACTTTGGTTCAATGACCTAAAGAGCAGTTCTGCTGATAAAAGACGGTGCTATTAGAGCTACAGGTTGCAACAGGCTGGGGTGTTGTTTATGGAATGAATGGCGTGAAAACAGTGTATGAAAGCATTTTAAAGGAGTCTGCATATGACATTTACTTAGGTTAGACGTTAAAGTTAAAAGATTCATACGAGGTAAAAGATCATTGCACTCTGTAGTTAATGTTTGACTGATTGAAACAGTTGTGCGGACAATAAAAACGTGCAGTGCCTTCCAAAACTGAAGTAGTTATCTTTTAACTCATGACCTTGCTTTTGATTTTGATTGAGGCTTAAAAGTAATCTCTAATAAACATCTGTACGTTGACGTGTGCATCAATTAAGCAGATAACAGGTCTGAAGTGACGTTCAACTGTTGAACTTGCATTCAAATGGTTCACAGGAAATAACATGAATCTAAGACTGCTGATAGAAATAGCAGGAGGAATTCTGCTACCACTTGTCAGATTCAGTTAAATGCTGCAAAACTGATGGCACAGAAGTTCCCATTACAGATGAGTAATGATCCAAACACACAGCAAAAGCAAGCCAAGTGAATGAATTTGTGAATTATATATTCCTGTATTCTCCTCGTCACCTACTCCCAGATATTATAGTTTGCATTTTCCGTATCAAATGTTTGCCATACAGTCAGGACTGTGAAACTTAAGCTCATCCGAATGAAACATGTAAAGTCATTACACATAATAAATAAACTCATATAATATAATTTTCTGATTTGCATGGACCAAACATATCTCTTTAACAAGGATAGTAAAGGTTTATTGTTTTTAGGATATTTTATGAAAACAGTAAGCAATTTAACGACTTTAAAGTGCAAATGAAATCTGAGTGGAATGATTTGCAACTCTCAAAACCCGTATTTTATTCACAATAGAACATGGAGAACTTAAAGCCGGGAAAATTCACCATTTTAAGAATAATATTAGCTCATCTTGAACTTGATGGAAGCCACATGTCTCAAAAATGTTGGGGCAGGGGCAACGAAAGACTAGAAGAGTAAGTGGTACAAAAGAAAAAGCTGGAGGAAAACGTAAAATAGCAAAAACTTGAAATATCCTATCACTGACATTATATAACGTCATCAAAAGATTCCAGGAGTATGGAAAAGTTTCTACATGCAAGAGATCAGGTGTCTCTGCAGCATTGCATTCTGATTGATTGTAACGGTTATATTTATATATGGTAAATGGTAAAGTTCTTATATAGCGCTTTTCCACTCTTCTGAGCACTCAAAGCGCTTTACACAACTTGTGCATTCACACCCATTCGCACAAGCACAACTGACATTCACACACATTCATACTCGATGAATGCATCGGAGAGCAATTTCGGGTTAGTATCTTGCCCAAGGATATTTGGCATGCAGACTAGGGGAAGCCGGGAATCGAACCACCAACCTTCCGATCAGTAGATGACCTGCTCTACCACCTGAGCTACAGCCACCCAATATATATCAAAATAATAATAATAATTCCTCACTCGCCCTGCAAGATCAATGTTATTTAAATAGTATGTTCTCTCACTTTAAACATTTGATATGTTTTCTGTTTTCTATATGAATAGAATATGTGTTTATGAGATTTGCACCTCGATTTTTACAGGCAATGAATTTGAATTAATCTGATTTGTGTCAATGAACTGTTGGTTATGCCCTTGCACATGACATGTGCTCCATTCAACAATTACAACGCTTTGCATCCAGCCGGTTTACAACCTACCACACCTTGTATATCACTCTGGCATTTTAAATAAGCATGTTTCACAAATGGACAATAGCATTTAATTTGTTTCCATCTGTAGATGTTAGGTTAAGGCTGTGTGCAGGCAGGAATAGGACCCAAGGTGCAGACTCCGGAGACAGACGTGAACTCAAAAAAGGCTTTAATTTAATACTCAAAATATAACATAACTGAAAAAACTCAAAACAAACTTAAACTAGAGAAATGACAGAACACACAGCTAGGAAAACAGTAGATTGCGACACAGACACAGAGAAACACTGGGCTTAAATACACAGAGGGAGCAATCAGGGAATGGGTAACAGGAGGGAAACAGCTGGGCAAATCAGGCCTAACGAGACAAGAGGAAGCAAAACCAGACACATTAACATCAGACATGGACTTTCAAAGTAAAACAGGAAACACATAACACAGACTGAACAAAGACACAGACTCATATGCAGGCACTACAAAGGGAACAGAGACGTGGGAACAGGGCAGACACAAACACTGACTGAACACGGGATATAGGAACTTAGGATACACAGACGCGAACTAGACAAGGGGATGCAGGTGATAGGGGAGACATAAGCCATAAGACGGAACTCAAAGAAACCAAAAACTAGAAGTATAAATAATAACATAAACTCAAACACCCTGGGTCAACGACCCAGGCATCCTAACAGTAGACATTTGCAGATATACTGATATCTGATATTCCCAAACTTCAGTTCTGTATATTTCTCCTTTTTGTTAATGTGTGGAAACAAGACTTTAACTATTATCAAGCATGAGGGGTGAACACTTAAAAAACTGGATGTCAATGACATTAAAAGATAAGATAAGATCTCAGAATCACTTCAAAACAAAACAGTGTTTCTTGGACAAAGAGAAGTCCCTGAAAAGGCAGATTATTGATTAAGCACAGTATATGACTTTTTAACCACCTCATACATTACTGTCAAGGCCGAAACTTTTCCAAATGTCCTTCAACCTGAAAGTTTCAGGTTGTGTGGTGTAGGGGTTCCAAATGCAATACTTGGGCGGGCAAAAATAACAAAGTGCAATCTTTTTATTTGGATGGTTGCAAAAAGTCAAAACAGACCATAACACCAAGAGCATATGAGGACACAGTTTTGGCTTGTATTATATTTTATTTATAAAGTGACAATTAACAGCAAGGATTGTTTCCAGGTCGTTGAACACATCTGCATTATTCCTATTAAATGCTTCACTTACACCTTTACCATGTTTGTGTATTAGTATAATGACATGCATTAGTATAGTATATTTAATCTTTGCCACAGAATCTCTCAGAGGTGCCAAGGTATTGGTGACTGGGTCCAGTAAAGGCATCGGCGAACAAATGGCATATCATTATGCCCGCTTTGGAGCCAAGATTGTTATTACAGCAAGAAGCAAGGACACACTGCAGAAGGTCAGTCAATTACAAACTACTCAAAATCTACTAAGATGCTGTCATTTAGTTCTAGTGTTTATGTAAGTCATGTCAGGGATGATATTTTAGAAATCAAGCAGCTCAGAAGGCAGTATGAGGTACATGAGGATATTCTTTAGTTCTTTGGAGTAGCAGTTTTAGCTATGACTCATGCCATTCTTATTGATTGTGACTAACAGGTAGTAGAAAAGTGTCTGAGTTTGGGAGCCCAGGAGGCTTTTATATAGCAGCAGACATGTCCAATGAGTCTGACCTTGATCGAGTGGTAGATTTTGCCTTGAAGCTGGGAG